GTGTAGTCCAATATCTTGTAAATTACCTGGAAGCTGTCCACATCAATATTGATGAAAGATCGTTTTACCACTAAGGGGCAATTCATTGCCTTGACCGTCCAATCAGATTTTCTTTTGCATCCACTGCTTTGAAAAAGTAATAAGTGCCACCAGCATAATGTATACGATGATCTCAGGGGCGTAGCGACCGGGGCTGGGGGTGGGGTGCGGCACCCCCTCCCCACCAATGATTAATTCCATTCGCAAATGAATCTAAAATCGGTGCTTAAACGATGTACGTTGGCCGTCAGCATTTCCCCCGAAGCAATTTGCTTTGTGAATTTTTCACGACAGGAGAGTTTAATCGGCAAATTGAATCTGGCACAACCCGCCCATAAGAAATGTCTTCGCTTTGCCCCAGACGACCTTTTTGACGATTTACAAAACTGGAATGAAATAAAACGCCGTTGTCATTGATAAATAACGAATAATTTATTACGACACGATTTAAAGGCGCATTTGCACGAGATAAAAATGTACAGCCTGCTTGAGACAGATTACAAACTCCGTAAAGAGTACCCATTGGCTTTCAATATTGCCTTAAAATTGCCACGGCAACTGATGTTGCACCGAATTTTCCTGTTGTCGAGAACTTTAGTACAGGGGACCAAACACTAAAAAGGCCCACGTCTTCAACTTTCTGGAGTGTGAAAGTAATTAACAAGTTGTTGCTGGAACGGAGGAAGCAAAGACTAGGTGGTAGGTTGAAATACTTGTTTTATGTGCCTTCACCAAACTTGAAATGCAGCCGTTCCTCTTTTTCAGAGGCACAGCTGAGGCTTGGATGTCGGCCTTTCAATCTACCAGTATGGCCCTTATTTCTATTGCCCGTCACCTCGATGATAGACCACTCCCGGTCTCCAGCGCCCCGGACGCGTCCCTGGCTGACCAACCGCTTCCGCCCTCCTCGACTACAAAGCGCCTCGACACCGACCCGGGCTCCACACCGGAATCGCACCACCCATGCGTTACTTTACAAGAGCGGTCTAAACCCCACGGTATTACGTGTGTAGGGCTCGTAACTACATGCGGCCCTGCCAACCGGCGGTATCTTCCGAGGAAGAAGAGGTCGATTCTATGAGCGCTCTTACCCCGGATGAGGGTCGTCTTCGTCTTCTTCAACTGGACATGATTCAAATACTCAGCCTGCCCGCAGCCGCTCCCCTCGAGGAGGATACCAGTCACGGCTTGTTCAAACGACACTTGACTCGACTGGGTGCTTTTGGGTCAATCTTTCCTGAACTCCCGCTTGATCGCTCCTGTGTGGAGATATTCAAAATCCCTTACCAAAGCCAAGCAATAGCGTGCACTAACGAGGGGTGTACATATCTAATTAAAGGCACTAACCTCTTTTTAGAAGTCTCTCTTAGAAGGTTATCATGGCGCTGAGAACGGCTTCTTAATCGTCAGTCTTACATGAGCAGGTGTGTTCAAGTGGGTGGCTGTGTACTGTACTACAGCCAACTGCGACAGCAAACACACCCACTGACGACGCTTACGGTTTTACCCTATCTAAGATTAAAGCCTAAAATGCTACAAGATCAACTAAAATTAACTTAAAAACTAAAATTACAGTAACTAAACTACACGAGTATGTCACCTAAGCTACAGTCAGCAGTAAGAGCTACGGCACCCCCACACACTACAACAGCACAAGATACACTGCCTTTTTGCCCAAACTGACTACACGGTGTAGCCAACAAGACCAGTGGTGACTACCAATGCATAAAATAACATTACAGAAGGAATGTCAAACATGTCAGTTGCAATCTTACCAGAGTGGCATGTGCCATTTACAAAATAGGGGGATCCTAGAGGACCCCACACACTCCCCAACCGAGCTGCAGCTTGTTAGCATTTCCCGAAAGAGGATTTTAAGTATTTCCTGTCGGTTCCAGACCTTCCTGACGCGGCCAAAGACAACATTAGTGCAGACTCGGGGAGACCACCTGCTCGGGGAATTTTCCGGGACAAGGATAAAGCCCTTCTGGGTTTTACGCTCGCAAAGCTCGACAAAGCCTCCTGCTTCCGACTACGGTGCACCGCCTTCTTGCTCCTCCTGTCGGAAAACATCGCCCATGCATGCGAGAACTTACCAGTCTCCCCGGACTTTGCAGCCCTAGCTCTCCTGGGCCATAACGAGCGACTGAACAGCACATTCGAACAGTTCGCTCGAATATCCTGTCTAGCAAATTCGCAGAGAAGGTCCAACGCCCTCAATGCCATGAGAATTCCCCACTAGGGTGTTAGGACTCGCCGGCAAGTTCGTCGATATGCTGCAGACCGAGGCTAAGCGGATTGATACAGCGATGAAGATATCCCTCCGCGAAACCCACCTTCAACGTTGCGGCGACCTCGGCCTCGTAGTTCCGGACAAGCCAGGCCCGCAACATACCAAGCTTTCCCTAGGCACTCTTCCTTTCGGCCACCGCTCCGACAGTCGAGCCAACATCTAGTTTTGCCCCAAGACTGCTTTTACTACTTTGGCCCGTTCACTGTGCAGGCGACATGTGCTGCATGGCGAGCACATCCTAATAGCAATACCAGTAGAGGTATTACATTGGCAAGAGAAGACCTGCCAGGAAACCAGTCATTTAGAATCTGGCAGTCTTACCTGAAAATTTCCCAGCATACCTCACGCGCTCTAATTACCATGAATAAGTTCTCATGCGCACTGCCGAAAACCACAGTCGGAATGGCGTGCAGTCTTCGGCAGTGCGTACGCGCATTATTATTCATGAACTTATCCAAATCGGCCGCCTTCAACACTTTGTAGGGTTCTGGAGGCACATCACCTCGGACAGCTGGGTACTCTCGAATCTTGCATATGGATATTATTTCAAGTTTAGAAGCACCCTGCCGCCCAATGTAATACTACATCCTACTCCTGTTCCTCGCAACAAGGACCAACGCATGGCGCTAGAGTCGGAGATAAACTCCATTCTGCAAAAACGAGCCATCCTTCAGGTAGAACCCAGCCAACTCAGGATAAACTTCGTTACAACCTTCTTCCTTATGCCCAAGAAGGATCCAGGCAAATGGCTTCGATCATCAATCTAAAGCCACTGAACAAATTTATCCGCCTCAAGAAGTTCCGGATGGAGACCTTCGCGACAGTAGGCCTAATACAATATCTTCCGGTTCTATCCTGGGCTTCATCGATTGATCTCCGCAACGCCTATCTTCATGTTGGTAATATCATGCTTATTCATACACGTATGACCTTTGTCCCCCACCTTCCTTTTGTGTGGAACATGACAGCAGGACTCAGCATAGCACCGTACCACCTTTGCTTGTATGATTATTTGCCTGTGCCCTATCTTGCTTTATCACAATGTTCCCATTCACGAAAGGGACTGCAAGTTCCTCCACTTTGTGTACGGAGGGGTAACATAGGATTTCTGGGCCCTTCCGTTCGACCTATCAACTTCACCCCAGGTTTTCGCCTGTAGGGCCAAGACTGTTGCGGCCCACCTACGCCAGCTAGATGTCATGATTTACCAGTATATGGACGACTGGTTGATCGTGTGTCGAACCCTAGCCGAGACTGTGACCGCAACTCACCTCACTTGCGATCTTATTACTCGTCACGGCTTATCTCGACCCCTGTGGAGGTCTCATCACTCCGACGGCCGACCGAGTCAACAATCTCTGGGTCTGCAACTGTCTTTTCCGCAAATTGCAGCCACCTCCCGCCCTTGCCTGGCTCCGTCACCTCGGCGACATGACCAG